TAAAACACATAATCAACTTGGTCTGGCCTTACATATACCTTGGTAAACACAACAACATTTGGAGTACTTGAGCATTGTTTTTTGACAAAAACGGCACTTATTTTCGCAATGTTTTTATTACAATGACAACTATTAATGTTTGTATTTGATTAGCTTCTTGGATTAGATGTATTTCTGTGTTTGATTTGTTTCTTGATTAGATGTTTTATTTGTAGAAATCTTATTAGTCGTAAAGTGATAAACCTTCCTATTGGATCATATCATAATTTGACCTTTTTTGGATAAACTTACAAAATAATTCTTTTTTTATCCATTTTTAGCCTATTGATGTTGTTACCTAGTTTTAAATTTAATATAAATACATTTTTTTTTGACGATCACGACATAAAAAGTCTTCAATAGAACAAACTTGTGTTTCATGATTGATTGAATATTCATTCTTCGATAACTTCAATGGTCACCAACTTAAATGTACTAAAGGCCTAATATTTAAAGCGGATTTGTCATGTTTACTCGATGATGGGTTTTTGCCTTGAATATCAAGTTATGGAACATAGTAAATCATATGTCCCATATTTGATTTTCAAGGCAAAGACCCCATATATCTTTTTTTCTTTTTTTTTTTGCGATTGTTTGTATAGATAGCTTTCAATAATATTTGTTCAAAGGGTTGTAAAATTTTATATTTAAAATACTGTAGAAACCTTGCATTAAGAGTTGACATACTGTACGTTATATAATTGGTATAAATTTTCAATTTGGGTATGTACGTACGTCAATTTTTAATCGACAGTCGTTTGATAGCGACGTCTGATATTAACATACGAAAAATAAAATCGGTTCGACTTTGACTTCCAAGATCAATGCAAAATTTTTTAATACACTCAACTCACTTTTTATAGCAAATTTACTCTATAACGAACTTTTTTAAAAATTTATTCGGAGTTCGGTATAGAAACATAGTAAATTATTTTATAAGAAATTTTTTACTATGAAAACGTTAGTTCGTTATTATGAAATCACGACTACTAAGTGAAAATATAAAAGTATTGTATAGTGAAATATATAACAAAAAATTTATTTTGAAATTCATAAAAACATCTATTATTTACGCTTTACATTTACAAAGATTTGTATTTTCTCAAGTACAATATTGAAGATAAAGTTTCATAAAATGGTGCGGGAATCTTTTTTACATTCATTCCAAAGAATATATACGTTAAAATTTACAATATTTATATGATTTAGTATCTATTCTAACCAATAAACCCATTTAGTAACAAACACCTTTAACACCATTCGTAAAATTATAATTCCATATTCCATCTACAACAGTTCCATTATAAGGGTTAATTCCAGAACTAGAAGACAAACAACGACCCATATCAACATCACTTGATGTTCTCGATGATGAAGTTGAGTTACGTAGAAAAGTTTCCTGTACAGGCTCGTAAAGATCGTCATCATCTAAAGCTTGGATATTCAATTGCGTGCGAGCTTTTTTATCTTGTTCTAAATGTCTCTTGTGCTCACGATAAATGTTGACGAGTGTACCATATTCATCATCATCATTTTCTTCTTCCTGTAATTGTCGACTGTAAGCCAGTAGTCTACTATGCCTAAGTCTATCATGTTCTAAATTATTGGTTAAACTAGAGACGACCGAAGTATATGTATTAGATTTATCCATCTGGATTATAAAATTAATTATGCTAGTGTTTGAGTTCATTTTTCTGTATGTAAACGATGGTAAAACTACGGATTTTTTTTATTTTTATAAGTTCTCAAAGAATCAAGAGTTTATATGATTTTAAATTTTAAACCGATTTAGATTGCTTATAATTATGGTTGAGGTGTCTTTTTTACGATATTTATTCTTTTCAGAGGTATGGCTTTTAACTCTTGGGTTTACAAATTAAGAAGTCTTCACATCGCAAATACGGAACTTTTTATTCACTGATATTTTTAGATAATTTACGAAATAAGTTTATGCATTATGTACGTAATGTTACATAACAATAACTATCTGTATAATTCCGTTAAGTCGGAGTCATTGATTACTTTTTTTATACAAATGACTATGTAGTATTTATTTCTCTTTTTGCACATATTTGAAGTATCGAACAGCAAGTGTACTACTATTGTGACATAATCAGAATGTTAAAAATCAGTCATTTATAAATTTTATCAATTTCGGCGTTGGAGACAAAACCAAAATTTGAATAGTTATGGTGGTAGAAAAATAGGTGTAATATATTTGCAGTAACTGATATTAGATTCCTGGATTTTACATTTACGTATTACCACAAGAATGTACTAGACGAAAATAAAGAATCACGATAAATCAAATGCATGCATGTGCAATAATCGGGATCGACTATTTTAGGATTCATATAGTTCCTCTACTTGAGTTTGTGTTGAGTTTGTGTTGAGTTTGTGTTTGTAACTTTAATGCTTCTTGCTATGCTTCGCTTTAGAATTCTGCACTAGCATTAAAAGTTTATTGGATGTTGTGTATTAAAATAGATTAGAAAGAAATTTATATGGAAAGTATAATACATCAAAATAATCATTGGCTTTTTGAACATTTATAGAATAAAATGAAGACTTGAGTGACTTCTTTGTATAAATTATTATAGATGTTTTGTAATTTGTCAACCATCGTTAATGTCAACCTCATTATCAGCCTCTTTTTAATATCAACCTCTTACTAAAAAAAGGTAGACTCAGGCTATATAAAAACCATCCCGTTGTTATCAACCCTCGTATATATCAACATAATTGTCTAATCTAAATGAGTTGATATTAAAAATAGGTTTCCTGTATAAATTTAACGTTAAAAATTTTCCTTTTATTCAATGATATGTTTTACTAGTACTCCGAACGAGTTGGGTCAGGTCGGTTGTAGGCCAACCCGATCTGGACTTTCGGTGCAGATCGGTCCGAACATTTTTATTGAGAAAACTTAATTTTTCAGGCCGTAGCACTAGTTCTCGACTATTTTAAGATAATACTTTATAAACCAGTAACATTATCATACACTTATTGTATAACTTTTTTTATTGTTCACATATTTAAAGTATTTGCACGTTAAACTTCAGTGCATATGTTGTATTGTTTTTTCAACAATGATAACATCGCTACTCATGAGTAGTAGCAATAGATTCAGCATAACGATGGTTCTAATCCATTTTTCTGACAACTATTTTACATGCAAAAAAATTCCCCAAAATCCAAATAATCTCTAACAGTCCACTTCGTAAATAACTACACTTAGTTGATAAACCATTTTAAAAACATCTATTTTCTGACAGTTTATTTCATCATTATAGCTTTATCAAGGTTATTATAAATCTAATATTGGTCACTTAATACTTTAACATCTAAAAATAGTATTCTATCAGTAAAGATAAAAGTCCGTATCGGATTTAGGCATAGTCCAAATGTCACATGTCCAATTAAAAATTACTATGTTTATATAATGCTGTTATGTCCATATTATCTTAATTTTGGCTGGTTAAATCTATAGAATAAATGATTATTGATCGTATTAGCACGAATGGACTTTAAAATTTATATTAAATAAGTATTTACTCCCGTTCTTATTAATACTTTTATACAGTTTGTTCACGCTTACCCGTATAGTTCCGAAATTAAGCACCACCCCTCTATCCCGATTTTTTAATATCAGATTAGCGGAAATTGTAATGAGATCTTTGGCCAAATTATTCCCGCTAATCTGAGATTAAAAAATTGGGGTAGAGGGTGTGCTTAATGTCGGAACTATACGGATCTCATATTTGGATTTCTTTTTACTATACAACAATAATCCCATAATCGAGAGGCGGCCGATCTATAACAAAACTTTAATAATACTATCACTGATTACTGATTTGTCGATAGTAATAATAAGAGTAAAGTCGGAAAGCCATGTGACGGCACGCTCTATTATGGGCGACGCTTAGGCCAACATTTGTAATAAAATTCATGAATGAAAATTCGAGTTGGGTTAATAGTTAACCGAATCCAACCCGAAACCCTCGGGTTACTTTTTTTTCAACCAGAACCCGACCCGATGCTTTAGAGTCGGGTCGGCCTGACCAGTCCGGAGCACTGTATCGAACCTTTTGTTTAATTAATTAACTGTGCAAATATTATTTACTTTCATAATTTGTGATAATTTTATTGTTTAGTTCTATACGTATAAGTTCCGCAAAGTGGAATCATGTCCAAAAATAGAATCTTTAACAATTGAATACATGAACAAAAAAGAAATGCTGCACAATCAATGATTCTAGTCGGATTTATTAAAAACTGCACCCCGTTGTGTAAAGAGTTCTATTTTTAGATCTTGGTTATACTTGGCGGCACATATATTTTTCATTGTTGTGTTGGCAAAATTTTGGGAAAGATCAAAAAAAAAAAGAACAAGAATCACTCGATTGTTAGATGATTGCTGATTTCTGAAAATTACTCTGATATGAAATTTCATAATAGATATTGGTGCACTTTTAAAAAATCGGAAATCATTTAATAATAGAGTAATTTCTTGGTGTTTTTTTTTTGCAGAATTTTGAAACCACAATAACGATAATAAGAGGCTGATATTTTTAGACCAGTCCTCATATGCAATAATCTCATGTGTGATTATATAAAGAAAGAATCATCTAAAAGTCAAGTGTTTTTTTTTTTTAGCGTGGACTAAAAGTTCCAAGGTACTTTTCAAGTTAGTCTACATGTGGGTATTATAGTCGGAGAGATATTATGGTTAGCATGGGAGTATGAATGGCACTATGTGAATGCCGTCAAGGAAGATCCTTGTAGCAACGTGATCTTTTAAATTGACTACTTATTTATCAAGATATATAATTTAATACCCCGGATACAATACGTTCTAGGCCTCTAAAAATTGTGTGGGGTATTATCTGTTATAGTAAGGGACCTTTAGTCTACGCTATATGGTAAAATCCAAAATTTTACAAATCGCAATGGATAATATGACAGACGTACGTATCTCTATAGTTAATATTATGACCTAACCGGCCACAAAAAAATGTAGCTGCATCATAGTTAAAGTATGAAGCACAGTTACGGTAATGCATGTAAATTATTATTGCTGATTTATGATCTGGTTCAGACTATGCTAAAATTTTTCAAGGAATCTTTTTGCTAAGACGTAAAAGGTAGTTCATAACGTTAAACAAAATTTCGAGTTATTTTTGTTTTTTTTTTTTTTTTTTTTTTTTTTGAAAACTGTTTTACGCAATTTCACATTACACAAATTTTGTAATTTTGATTGGTAGCGGAGCAAGTAAAAAACGGTAAGTCTTTTGTTTGAGGACTCGTGTAACGATACTTCTATGGGGAATTTTGTTTCTACTAAAGGTGTTACAATTTGGACTACGTAGTACGTATAACAACTTTATTATTAATGTGTGGTTCTTCTACATTTATTTTACTACTAATTTCTTTATTAAGAGCTTCGTCATACTCTCCCACAGTACGTACGTATGTCGGCACTAAAATTTAAATATTTACATTTAACCGCATTTGTCATTTAAACATCCCGAATCTTAACTACCCTTTTTGGTTTATTTCCACCACTCTCAAACCTGATTGTCGCCTTAATTTCGCAATACAGAAACCTTATTGTCCGTTTTCGATCTATTCTCGATTTAGTATATCATTCGTTCGATTTTGGGGATGATGCATTAGGGTGCTCATAAAATCGATAAACCAAACCATAATTACTGATATGTATTGCTTATTATTGAGGATTTTTTATGTTTTTTTTTTAATAATTCGGAAATTAACCTTTTTTGATTTAGCGATAAATGCTGAATATTGTAATCATTTTTTTTTAATACAACTGGAGGTACAATTTTTTTATGCTGTTTTTTTTTTTTTTAATTGATAGTTTTATTATGCTCTTTCACAATAACCTCGGTTTACAAATTTCAATGGCTTTATCTTTGCCGAATTTAGTTAAAGCTTATTAATATTATTAAAGAATTTACCATTGTAAAAATAGAATAAATCGTTCTATTACGCAAAGTCTACCTTTTAAAAAATTAAAATATTAATTATTATACTAAGTTACAAAGAAAACTGATCAAAATGAAAACTGATCAAAATTTTTATTATCCGCAGTAATTTCGAATTTTCATATCATATGCGACCCGAAATAATGTATACATGCATCTAGTCGAGAATGATCGTTGATCTTGACGCCCAGTTACATTGCATTTTGTTCAGGATTTATTCTTGCCCGTGTCCAATTGAAGACGGCATTTATATTACAACTAACTAGAACTTTTGTGAAAAGTTAGGATTCCCGTATAATTGATAACTTTTTCGTCATATACGTATAAGGCCGTTCAAAGTAGAATAGTTGTTTAACGTCATCCCCTTTTTAGTAGCATCCCCTTCTTAGTAGCTGCCCCCCGGAAATTAAACAATACAGGATAATCTTCAATAATCATGTGATTAAGGTTGACCAATGAGATTTGATCAAATATCATGCTTCGTATATATGTTTGTTTAAACCCCCTCTCGAGCCTGAGCTCAAAATGTTGACGTTAAACAACTAATCAGCTTTGAACGGCCTAATATTTAATTGTATTAAATCATATACGTTGAAGCCTCGTATGTGAACGATCTTTGGTGATTGCGCTTGGTTTGTCTTGAATA